GCTGCACGTGGGGCCGCGGCAGGCGGAGCCCGCGGTCGCAGTCACGTGGATCCGTGCCTTTGCAGCAGCAGGCAGCCCTTCCCGTCCACAATCAGCTTGGAAGAAACCCCCTTCCCTTTCTCTGGGTCTGCCTCCCTCCTCCCCCTGACACCTAGCAACCCACGCTCCCACCTAGGGCTGTCCTTTGAGGTTTAATTAGGTCACGTGGCCACGAGTTTCCCAAACCCCTCAGTAATGCTTTAGATTGGTAGTCAGTTTCTATTAATTAAAATTGCTTATCTCTGTGTTGACCTAAGCACCTAGCTAAGCCATGCACGTCGATAAGGTTCCCAGCCCAGCGAAATGTTTCTTAAATTAAATCGTTCAGAGTTTAACAGGGCAAAGCACTCCTTAGTGTTGCTGTTGTTTTCATCAAGCAACTAGGCTTCCTTCTCAGAGCAGCAGCTTTTGGGCTTTAATTCCTGTTCATACCTCCGTCCCGCCCTAGACGGAAAAACAGAGGCAAAGATCCCACAGTCTGTGCACAAAAATGATACATTTATTGAAAGAGTATTTTTTTTTTAATACAAAAGAAAGCTCTGTACATAGGACTGTGACCATGTCCACTATTCCTGGGTCAGCATCCCAGGAAGTAGAAATCACTGACATACACACCCCACATTCACACACACATTCACTCAAGCGTGCGCACGCGTGTGCATGCACACACACACACACACACACACACCCCAGAGCCACCAAGGAAGGGAAACACCAAGGGTTGCTGCACATATAAATGCCACCTTATCCCTGATGCACGCATGTTCTCCCAAGGCCATGCTCACACAACACACATTATAAGCACTTTGCCTGATTCACTCACTGGGTCTGTCTTTTGTGGGAAGGAGAGGAGGAATTCATCAAGGTCTCCTCCCCTGGTGGGGGAGTTGGGAAGTGAGTGAGTGAGGGTGGAGTGAAACAAGAGCAGAGAAAAGGGCTGGGCAGTTACAGACCTGAGTCCCAAGCCCCCCACTCTCTGGCCCCTGATTTGCCATGCCCCAGCCTTGTAAGCCACCCATAAGCCCCAGCTCTCTCCAGGAGAAAGCCCAGAAAGGTGACTTCTATCTTGGCACCCGAAATTGGGGCAAGACAGCAATGGGGGTTAGAGGTTAGGGGGGACTCAAAAAATGTTGGCAAATCATCCCCTTGATAACTAGGCTGTGCGTAAAATCTCCCCCCACCCCTTCACCTAATCACAGAAGCAGGCTTGTTCCTACTGAAGGCAGTCACAGGGTTAATAAAACTCCACCCCAACTGCTGCCCTGTTCTGAAAAAGCTTCCTTTCTGGATACTGGGGGTGAAGATGGGCTCTGACACAGGGTAAAAGACCCTCCCCGTGTTGGCCCACCCTGAAGGTCTACCCCAAAGGGGGAAGAGGGGGGTGGGGCACGGCCCCTGTACAAATTACATAAATACTGAGGTTACACTTAGAAAAATAAAGTCATTTTCTTCAAGGCTTTTTGTCTTAATTTTAAAAAGTTACAGTAGCTGCTCACTCCCTGGGAGAGCTGCCCACTTCTGGTTCCCCTATCACTGCACTCAGCCCAAGAGCTGCTCCCATTTTTCTGAGCCCCTTTCCTGCCTCTCACCCCCTCCCAGATCCCACCCTGCTCACTGCAACTTGGGCCCCAAGCAGCTGCAGGCCTGGGGAGCACAAGGCTGCAATGCCCATGCATGTGGCACAAATGAAGTCAGTTTCCTCTACCTGACACCCCACCATTTGGTCTCCCTCTTCCCTCTCCCTAGCAACAGCCCTAGAGGGCAAAAAGAGGCCCAGAGCTGTGGGTCACCCCCCCCCCATCCCATTGTGGCATGGCCTGAGGGCCCCTCCCCCGGTTTTCTCCTGGAAATAACCCAGGACCGGGCAATCCCAGAATCTCCCCCACACACTGGTGGGCCCCAAGTTCAGGGGGTGGCTCTGTCCCCAGAGGCCCAGCCAGTTCTGGGGAGCCCCAGGGCTCCCCAGGGAAGGGGAGCTTGGGCAGGGAGGGGGACGAGAAAAACTCCATAAAAAAAAGTTAAATATTTTAAAAATATATATTTATAGATTTGTTTTCACTTCGTCTCCTCAAATAAAAAGTTCAAAATCAACTTTAAGTAAAGCAGCTGGGAGGAGAGGGGGGGAAGACGGGGAGAAAGAACAATGATGGTTCCCTCCAACCCAGGAGCCCCTGGAGTCCCCAAGGGAGCGGCAAGGCAGGGCAGATGGCCCGGGGGTACCTGCTCCCTGCACAGGCCCAGCTACTTGGAGCTGCAGGGGCTGCAGGCGGGCAGCATGAGGGAAGAAGCCCATCTCCCCAGATGGCTCCCTGGGGCGGGCTCTACTGACCCAGCCTGTGGCAGACACAGTACTGACATGGGGTCAGCATTGAGGCTGGACAGAGGACCCCATTGCTTCCTCGAGGTGGCAGGGAGGATGGTACCTAGTCCCACAAAGATCTGTTGTGGTAGGTGGGGCACGGTCCACTGGGAAAGCTAATACTCATGGCAAACATGGAGCCAAGCTGGCAAGGGAAGTCTGAGGAGGGAGGGCAGCCCCACCATCAACAGAATGGGAGGTGGAGCCAGAAGGAGGGGAGAGTGAGGGAGGCCGGGGTGGAGGGTAGGCTGGCCCATTTCTTTGGCTGGAGTGAGAGGGCTCAGTCCTGTGGCTGCCCACTGCTCCTCCCCGCCTCCCTCCTGCGGCCCGTCATGTGTGTGAAGAAAACGTGAAAAGGCAACAATAAATAAGTGGTGCCGTCTCCTGGGCCATCTGTCCAGGGCGGCAGGGCAGATCAGTCACTCTTGGTGCTGTGGGCGGCGTCCAGGTTCACCACCTGTAACTCGGTGAGGTTGCTGCTGCTCCCGGCCTGCTGCCCTATGACAGCCATCTGGAGGGAAGCGGATGTGTCAGGAAATGAGGGCAGGAACACATCAGCCAGCTCAGACCTCCTGCTTGCCTGCCTGCCCACCACAGGTCTGACCAGGAAAACAGGCCTTCTGGCTAGGAATCTTAGCTTTGACTAACAAGTAATAGAATCCCCAAGGTCAAGATAAAGAAGTAGCTGGCTGGCCCTAGCTAGTTGCTCAGTGGTTAGAGCATTGGCCCAAGGGCTGAAGGGTCCTGGGTTTGATTCTGATCAAGGGCATGTACCTCGGTTGTAGGCTTGATCACCAGCCCTGGTCAGGGCACATGCGGGAGGCAACCAATTGATGTGTCTCTCTCACTTCGATGTTTCTCTCTCTCTGTCTCTCCCCCTCCCTTCCACTCTCTCTAAAAATCAATGGAAAAGCCCTAGCCGGTTTGGTTCAGTGGACTGAAGGGTCTTGGGTTCAATGCCAATCAAGGGCACATGCCCAGGTTGTGATCCCCAGTAGGGGGCATGCAGGAGGCAGCCGATCCATGATTCCCATTATTGAAGTTTCTCTCTCTCCCTCTCCCTTCCTCTCTGAAATCAATAACAATATGTTTTTTAAAAATAAAAAATAAAAAGAGGACCTGGAAAAAGTTAAAAAATAAAATAAAATCAATGGAAAAAAATATCCTCGGGTGAGGATTAATAATAACAAACAAAGTAGCTGGCTGGCTGGGATGGGGTGAAAGGGGTTCCCACCTACCTGGTGAAGTTGAACTGCAGAAACAGGGATCTGCACTGTCCCAGATGGTGCTGTCAGGAACACCTGGGGGACGCCACCTGCATTGGAAAACGGGAGATACTCAAATTGCTTGCTCAAGAGAAACTTCCAGTTATTGGAGCTGATAAATGCACATATGACTGGGTGAGTCTCAGATGTAAATGCCCTAGGGTGAGTGTCCAATGTGTCCAAGTGCGTGTGCGAGTGTTCAAGTGTGCATGAGTGTCTAAGCCAGGGGTGGGCAAACTTTTTGACTCGAGGGCCACAATGGGTTCTTAAACTGGACCGGAGGGCCGGAACAAAAGCATGGATGGAATGTTTGTGTGAACTAATATAAATTCAAAGTAAACATCATTACATAAAAGGGTACGGTCTTTTTTTTTTTTTTAGTTTTATTCATTTCAAACCGGCCAGATCCGGCCCGCGGGCCGTAGTTTGCCCACGGCTGGTCTAAGCAGACAAGCATGGGCGCCAGAGTGTGTATGCAAGTATCCGTGTGTATATGTGTAGAAGCATGGATGAGCATCCTAGTTTGTGTATGTATGTGTGGACATATATATCGGGGGTGGGGGAGAAAGCGTGTGTGTGTATGTGTGTGTGTGTGTGTGTGTGTGTATAAGGGAGATAATGGTTTTCCTTTCCTCAGCCCTGCCCCCCAACTCACCTTGCTCCTGGACCTGGCTGTGGGACACCTGCATGGTGGATGGCGCCTGGGAGAAGGCATTGAGCACGGTGAGGCTGCCATCAGCCAGGCCCGAGGTGGGTGCATACATCACCGCATGGGGGCTGGGGTACATCATGTGGCCGCCCACAGTTGTGGGTACAGATGACGTCATGATGGTGGCGGGCAAGGTCACTGGCAAATACAGACACATGTCAGTGAGGCTGACACTTGTCCCCACTGATATCTCCCATCCCACCCCCAGGAATTCCAAGCCGCCAGAGCTCTCTAGCCATTTCCCAGGTCAGCAGCTAGACAAGACTCGTTCCTCTGCTACCTGTCATCAACTAAGAAAAGCCTTATTTTTTCTTGAACACAACAGCACCAGCCTTTAATTGTATCCTACCACATCGTGCTATTTAATTGTCTGTTTGCTGGATTCTCTACTCCAAGACCCTAAGGCCCTGGGAAAAACAAAGATTACAGTAACTGACCCAACCTAAGGAAACTAAGATACTACTCCCCCTTTAGGGAGCTTCAGTATTGTTATTTGTTTTCATTCCTCCTCCTTCTTCCTAAATGTGTGGCTAACAAATGCATCTTTTAAACTAGCACTTCTCAAATGTGAATGTGCATACAGTCATCTGGGGTTCTTGTTAAAAATGTACATTCTGATTTAGTGGGTTTGGGGTGAGGCTTAAAAGTCTGCATTCCTCTCAAGCTCCAGGGTGATGCTGGTCCTCCACAGATTACATTTAGTATAACAAGGTTGTAAATAACAAGAACTTAAAAGTAATTTTATTCTGAAAGTGTCTCATCATATCTGGAATGGCTAGAGACCCTGAGGGAAATTATGGCTACTCTAAACCTAGGACACCCTCCCACAAGGAGACAACTGCTCTATAAATCCTTCCTGGTAATTAAGCAAACGTGAATCTTTGGGCAAGTAACTTCTCCTTGCTGGGCCTCAGGCTTCTCATCTGAATAAGGAGGACGGTGGCTTCAGTGGTCCCTGATTTCTTCTTTGAATCCACAGCCCTACTGCAGGGCAGAATACAAATCCCAGCCACCCCCACCTGACTTTCTCTTAAGGATTAGGATAAGGGTTAAGCCAAAAGCCTCAGTCTCCACATTAAGAAGTGACAGAGCTTCAAGCTATACCTGTCCCGCTGGAGGAGGTCTGCGTGAGGTCTGTGCTGCTGTCGCGAGAGGGAGACGCTTGTTGTGGGGCCTGGTGCACCTGAATGGCCTGCACTGGAACTTGCTGGGCCACTGCCCCACCTAGGAGACACAGAGACTTACTTGTGCTCTGTCCTACCCAGCCACCACCTGCACCAAGCACCCTCAAACACCCACATGCCCAGGGTCTGACACACTGCTCCCCAACTCCCATCGCTATCTTTTGTGGGAGCCAAAAAGGCCCTTCCTGTCCTGAATCTTGGTCTCCAGGGGCTTCTCTACTCTGCTTTTGCTCTTCCCTCCTCCTCCCTTCCTAGGCCTTGCCTCTTTCCTCTTCAGGAAGTTGGTATGACCCATCAGGGACATGATCTGCCCTCTAGTCGAGGTAGGGAAGTGACAGAATGTCTACTGTCCCTCTGGCAATGGGGGACACAGGGCTGGGCTGGCTAGACAAGGCCAGAGCATATGGCTGATACTTACTGACAAGGATAACAGAGGTTCCAATGGCGAGGGGCATGCTTGCCAACGGGACAGAATAGGCTTCTCTCGGGCCCTGGCCCCCTGTCCACCCTCCTTCTGAGCAGGGGAAGAGGTTCTCCTTGTGTCAACCCTAAACCCACTCTTCCCATGCTCAATTTGCCCCTTGTGACTCACCAGGCATGAGGGTAAAGCTGGTAGGCAGCTGCATGAGGCCCCCAGAGGAGACAGGGCCACTGCCCGTACTCTTCAGCACCGTCCCGTTGGCACTGCTGGCGGCACTGGGACTGACACTAGCAGACACTGGTGCCAGGTAGTTGGTGATGGGGAAGGAAGGGCCGCTGCTGACTTGCATGGTGGTAGAGGTGCTGGGTGCTGTTTGGATGGTGGAGGTGGTACCCGGCAGGTTGGTGACTGTGAACACCGGTTTCAGTGAGTCCTACACCCAGAGTAGAGATGGAGCAGTGAGCCTCTACCAGACCCTGCCCCTGCAGGAGCTTAATGTGGATTGACAGCCCAGACTGGAACCAGTGTGCTTGGGTACAAATCACAGCTCTGACCTTTATCTGCTGCCTGGTCCATGGGCAAGTTATTGAACTGCTATGCTCCAGTTTCCTGTCTATGAAAGGAGGATAATACCTACCCCATAGGTGTTGTGAAGAATAAATAGGTTAACATACTTAAAGAAGTTAGAACAATGCCTGGCACATACAAAGAGCAGTAAGTATTTGCTGCTCTTATTTATCATAAGATAATGATAAATATGATCATCATAATTCCCTGAGTTCTGCCCCAATGGACTATGGCCATCACATTGGCTGGGGAATCAGGACACCAGGCGTCTGTTCCCAGCTTTGGCAATGGCCATCTGTGTGACCCTGGGAAAATCACTTACTCTTTCTGAGCTTCAGTTTTCTTCTGTAAGTGTGAGAGGACTGGGCTACTGTGCCCTCTTTAAAGGGGTCCTTCCAGCTCATATTTGCCAGGCTTCTGGGATAGGGACCCAAAGTTCTATAGGGAACTTATGGCTTGAGAGAGATTTTAGGGGGTTGGCACTTTATGACAAATACTTAAGATTTTAATTACCAAAAGTATTGATTCGTCCAGCATAATTTTCTGTGAATAAGCCCTACTGCTAAGAGTTTAAAAATTATTACAGATGCCACCACATGAGGGGAAAGTCTAAAGCACTGACTTTCCCCTCAGGGAGCCTTTGTTTTTAGAAGGGGAAGGAGGAAACCGGGGGCTGAGAGCCAAGCCCAGAGGACTGAGGGGCTCAAATACTGGGGATTGGTCAGAGCGGGATGTTTGCTAATCAGACGCGCTCAAAGCCCCTGATTGGTGAAGGCGTTGCTAAGGCAAACAGTGCCGCTCCCTCCAATTGGCCAGTTGGTGAAGGACCCGGAAGGCGGAGTACCCAGAGGAACTAGGAAGGAAGCTCCGCCCCCTCTCCTTACCGGGAAGAGGAAGGGGGAGGCGTAACTAGGGCCGGCATCCCTAGCAGCCGGGAAAACCCTCCCTAAGGTGCCCCGGCCGGACATCCTGAGGAGGTAGGTGGCCGGCTAGGAAGGTAGTCTGCGCCCAGGCAGCCAGCCCACCTGCACACAGTGCCGGGTTCCCAGGCCCTGGAACCCACGAGGGCTACTTCCTACTCGCCAGTGCGCCGCCTGCGGGAGGCCGGGCTACGCTACGCCCCCACCCCGAGCGGGAGACAGCTGGCGGGAGGAATGCGAGGGCCC